TTTTTTTTGTGGTACTGGAGATCGAACTCATGACCTTGCACTTGACAGGCAGGCGCTTATGCCACTGAGCTGTATCCCCACCCCGTTTGTATATATTTTGAATCAGGGCTCAGTAAGTCCATATTGGCTTCCAACTTGCAATCCTCCTGCCTCAGTCTCCTGAGTAGCAAGGTTTACAGGTGTGAGCCATTGCACCCTGCAATGTTGGCTCTTACTGACCTCCCTCCCATTTATTTAGGTACAAAATTCTATTCTAACTTTGCTTAACAAGATTTTGGGAAATAGTAGCTTACAGAATTAAGTTAGATCAAGTGGTTATTTATTCATTTAATTAATTTACAGACTTGGACTGAGGTTAGAGGGGTTTGAGAGGGCATTCTCATTTCTTTAATAGAAGTTTTATGTGGCTTTGTTTAAGGTCTCTTAAAGGTGCTGTGACTGAACATGACCAAAGCTCTCAAAACTTGTTTCTGAAATGATCCCTGGGATTTTAAGGAGGTGCCACTTCAATCTGGGAAGCTCTTACATTAGCATCTTTGCGTCAGTGTTAACAATCCCGTGAAAACAGTTCAGAGACATGGGAAGGATTTGGCAGAGTGGATACCCTCACAAAACTCAATTTCTGTGTTTACCTGTGTCCCTTAGTTTCCAAATTTAGTTTTCCTTATAGATTATCAATCTCAGAACTTCCTGGAAAATCTTTGTTGTGATGACTGCTATGCTTGCCTACCTCTTCAAGTTTACTGCATATCTGATACCTGGTTTACTCCTGTCTTATCTCTTAGTCCATATTAGGCATTTTTCTTGGCCAGTTAGAAGAGCTTCCTAGGATTCTTATTCTCTGCATTATATGGTTGCTGAAACAGAAAAATAATTCTTGGTTTTTTCTTCTTTTCTTGTGGTGCTGGGGCTCCAACCCTGGGCCTTGTGTGTGCAAGGCAAGAGCTGTACCTCTGGACCACATCCCCAGCCCAGAAATATAGTTCTTTAGATGGATGAGCTGGCACATATAGCAGTAGTGCTTGGTGAAAGAAACAGGCCTTACACAAGCTGGAACAAATGCCCCAAAACAATTTGCATTATGGTACAAATGGGGGAATTTTTCTGTTTATCTTAAAGTATGAGGTTTACTCACTCAGTAGGTGTAAAGGATTTTTTATTTTTATTTTTGTTATTTTGAGAGAGGGTCTTGCTATGTAGTTCATGCTGGCCTTGAACTCACTGTGTAGCCCAGGCCTCAAACTCGCAGCAGTCCATCTGCCTTAGCCTCTTGAGTGTTGGGATTACAGGTATGTGCCACCATGTCCAAAAATTGGCTTTATGTTATAGTTAGTTACTTCAAAAGACAGTTTGACTTCTGTGGATTACATGGTAGGTGTGGAAGCAATCAGAACAGAGAATAACTGAACTCTTTGCGTGACAAATAGAAAACCTTTTGAAACTAGTATATTTTGTTCTTTGGAGAATTATAAAGAAAGATATTAATAAGTTGGTGAATGTTTTGATTCTTTTCTTGTTAACTTTTCTGGAATGTTTTCTTGTTTGATTTAGTCTACCAGAAATTCAGTAATGGGTATCATACTTAGGGAGAAGTGAAGTAGAAGAAGAAATCCCTTTTTATTAATAGGGGAACTTTGTCATATTGGTCATATGTATCCTCTTTTCCATAGTATATATTTTACTGGTCAAATCGCAATTTTTAATAGTTTGATTTTACTTATTTAAATCTTTTTTATTGTTAACATTGATTTGTTAGCTCAGTTTAGCATTGATCAGCTTTTTTCTGTTTAGTAAAGATAGGTCTATATAGCATCATTGTTTATGCTTTTATAGTACTTGGTTATATGATTGCATCTTTAAGTCTTCTGATGTCTTTAATTTCTTTCTAGAGTGTTTTGAAATTTTCCTTAGAAATGTAGTGATGTTTTACCTTCTTGGTTGGTCGGCTCCTAGGTATTTTATTTTTTGATGCTGCTGTGATTGGAATGTTTTCCTTCTCAGCTAGTTCATTATTGGTGTATAAAAAACCTTTTAGATTTTTAAAAATGTTGATATTTATCCTGTTACTTTGCTGAGTGTGTTTATTGTCTGTGAAGTATAGGATCATCATATTGACTGCAAATAGAGATTGTTTGATCTCTTGCTTTCCTATTTGTGTCCCTTTTATTTCCTTCTCTTGCCTAACTGCTATGGCTAAAATTTGAAGTGCTATGTTGAACAAGAATTGTGAAAGTGGTCCCACATTGTTTTGTTTCTGATGTTAGCAACAGTGCTTTCAGTTTTTCCCCATGTTGGTGTTTGGCTTGTGATAGGAGCAAGGAGGAACAGGAGGTAAAGCAGAATAAACAAGTGAGAAGATGAAGTATTTCTCTTGAATTGAGGATGACTAGCATCCAGTTTGCTTAGGATGGATGGAGATGTTTTCCAGGATTCAGACTCTTAGTGCTAAAACTGCAGAAGTTCTGGGCATACAAGGATAGTTAGCTGCACGGAATCTGATTCTTTTTCCTTTACAAGATAAAAACACAATTTTCTCCTGGAAGTGAAAAAGGAATGATGGTCATATTGAAAATGTAAGGTGAGTAGCTGGGCATGGCAGTGCATGCTTGTAATCCTAGCACTCAGGAAGCTGAAGCAGGAGGATCGTCTCAAGTTTGAGGCCAGCCTGGGCAGCATAGTGAGACCCTGTCTCAAAGAACAGATAAACAACTAAACAAAATGGTGAAAGACCTAGCTATAATTGTGCATCTTAAAGATGAGGAAGCAAATTCACTAAGTTAATATAATTTCTGAATACTACTAATGGTCTGCTAACATTTCTGGTTATAATTTGAAAGTTTATTTGGTTATAGTTCTCTTCATTTTCCGATGTTCAAGTAGAGATGCTGTGTTAAGTAGAAAGTTGATTTTAAACTGTTTTGATTTGGTGGAGGGAGAAAGGAACAGAGCAGTGAAGCCCTAGATAAGGGAATGATTGTAGTAATGGATTATCATTTCTCAGGCTTGTTGAGAAGTTAAGAGAGAGGATGGAGTACAATAGAAAATGTAGTATCTGTGAGTGAGCTGGGAACTTAGATGAAGAGAATAAGATGCTCAAAATTGAGATTTTTGAGGTGATGTAGTTACTGATTATTAATTGGATCATAAGTAAGGACTGGAGTGAATGGAAAAGATTGAATTAGGAATTGTCTCTGTGGAGGTTGTTTCAATTGAAGCAGTTTTTGGTGCTCTAAAACATATTTACTTATTTCCTCTTCATGTAGAGTGTTCTGTTTTTTGTTCTGTTTTGTTTATATACAGAACAGAATCACATTGTGAATCACATTGTTGTTGCTCTGGAATGAAGACAGTTATAAACAGTAAATGGATACAAAGAAATTTTGCTTAATCAGTACTCAGCCTTATTGTATGGCTTGCTAGAGAGCCCTTGTAGTTGGTAAGTTCAAATGTTAGCATCCAAATTGATGATCCCACTATATTGAGCTATTTTAGTATTGCAGAGGTTCAACAAGGCTTTGTACTATTTGTAGTTATATGCAGTACATTGCTTTATTGGCTCCAATTTTGTTCTTTGTTTTTTATAGGCCCGCAGCTGAATGCACAGCTAGAAGGTTGGCTTTCACAAGTACAGTCTACAAAAAGACCTGCTAGAGCCATTATTGCACCGTAAGTTTTAAGCGTTTTCACCAAAAAATCATTTATTATTTTTTATTTTAAAGAGTAAAAAATTATAACAAAATAACAACAGTGAAGACAAAAACAAAACAACACACAAACAATAAAAAAAATTAATATCTTTTATTATAAGAATAAATGGATGGATGGATTTATTAATAAATATTCACCAATAAGTTATTTATTATTATGAAAAGATGAGTATCTGTAAGTTGAACTAAACATAAAAAAACAGATACTAAATTGAGCTGAAGAACTTAGTTTTTTTTTTTTTCTGTCTTTTTGAGACAAGGTCTCGCTATGGAGTTCATACTGGCCTTGAGCTCACTTTGTAGCCCAGGCTGGTCTCGAACTCGCAACTATCCTCCTGCCTCAGCTGTGCTGGGATTACAGGCGTGTGCCACCATGCCCGGCAAGAATTTAGTTCTTACAATTGTGGTTTTCAATTAAAGCCTAGGCCATATGATTTCCTCAAATGCAGTAATTTCAAATTAATTTTGGTAATGTATTGATCAGCTTTCTCATTACCAGTACAAAATACCTGAACTTAAAAGAAGAAAAGTGTATTTCGGTTCAGTTTCAGAGGTTTTGGCTGCCCTCCAGGCAAGAATGTTACGAATTTTTAACTTGCAGTTAATATGATACAACATTGAATAGCACCCAGATTTTTGGAGAGGGGTAGATTTTAATTCAGAAAACTAGATTATTTTTGCAGTAAATATGGGCATGAAGACATTTACTGTGACATTGATTTCAGATCTTTTGGATAAATACCCAGAAGTGAGAGTGCTGAGTCTGTTTCATTGTTTGTTGTTACAATCACAGGTTGGTTGTAGTTCAGTTAAAATTATCACAGAAGTGATAATCAATTGACTATATATCAAATTTACCAAAAAGGGTATTGCATATTTTCATCATAAATTGTATTTATTTTTTAATACAGAATTTTATGATAAACTCATGGACATATATATGAACGTACTATTTTTTTTTTCTGCAATGTCAGTTTAAAACATTTACTAACATACTACCAGCCACATACTAAGAAGTGAGCACTGAGGGAAGTGATTCCTAGACTCATGAACCTAAAATGAATCAGGAAAGAAAGATGGGGTCAGGAAACCAAGTCATTCTATAGGTGATAAGAGAACTGACTGCTGAAATCAGAGTATGAACAGAAAAGAGTAGTTGTTTTTTTGACAGAGTAGTACTCCATTGTGTGTAAATACCATATTTTCTTTAACTATCTTTTAATGGACATATAAGCAGCTTGTGAGATTTAGCCACTATGAATTGTATTCCTTTAAACGTGGGTATGCATGTATCTGTAATATGATATCTTTAACTCTTTTGGGAAGAGACCTAGAGAGGGACTAAATGAGATAGATGCAATTTCTAGTTTTAGTTTTTTGAGGACTCTCCATACTTATTTCCATAGTGGCTGTAGTACTATTAGTTTACATTCCACCAATGTGGTAGAAGGGTTTCTTTTTCCTTGTAGCCTGTAGCGTTTATTATTTGATTTCTTGATAGGCATTCTTTCTGGAGTAAAGTAGAAGTTCCATGTTGTTCTAATTTTCATCTCCAATGGCCAGTGATATTGAATGTTTTCCCCATGTATTTAGTGGCCATTTATACTACTTTTTCGGATTATTATATCTTAGTGAATTACATCTTAGGTTAATTTTGATTAGAGACCTCTTCCTGTGACTAACTGTTGGCATATCTTCCCAGATTAGGAAATTGTTCAGCCATAATTTTTTTTCAGCCATAAATATTAAAAAATATATTATTGGATCATTTTCTTTTTTTTCTTTAATTTCTATTTTTCATAGATTATATCTCTTGATAGCAGAATTTATTCCTGTTCATTGTCTTCCTTTTGCTCCTCTGATGGGATAATATCAGATATTCTATGTTTATGCTTGCTAATCCTATCTTTAGACTGATGAGCCTGATTTATTTATTTTTGTGGTACTGAGGCCTCATACTTTCTCTGCCAGCGAGGTACATCTCCAGCCATTTTAAATTTATATTGTATTCTGTGTCTTAGTTCCTCTTGCACCACTGAGACTTAATACACAACACCCACAACTCTGAGGAGGAAAGGTTTATTTTTGAATCACAGTTTGTAGTGGTTTCAGTCCATAGTTAGGTGGCTGCAAGAAGGGTTGCATGGCAGTGGTGCATGGCAGGGGAGAAATAGTTCATGACATGGCTGGCAAGATACAGAGAGATCAAGGAAGGAGGGGAGAGATGGACCAACTGTTAGTCCACTGTTGAGTATTATGCCCCTATGACTTAATCACCACCGCAGAGCCCCAACTATGATTGTATGAAGCTTTGGGTGGGGAATATCTAGGTATAAACCATAACAGTCTGCCCCTGGCCTCCAAAAAACTCATGCACATCTCTTTATGCAAAATATTTAGTCCATCTTTTAAGAGTTTCCAAAATTCTAATAATTTTGTCATTGCTGAAAAGTCCAAGTTGAAAGTTTCCTCTGAGATTTAAGGCAAGCTGTTTTCTGAGAGCTCCTGGACAAATCAAAAAAGAAAGTTAAACACTTTCAACATAGAGAGGCACAGAATAAATATTTCCATTCTAAAAGGAAGAAAGAAGGGAATACAAAGGAATAGGACTAAAGCAAGACTGAAGCCCAGCAGGGGCAGACTTCAAGTCCTGTAGTTCCATGTCCGGCACCTGGAGTAAGCTGTGGTGAGGTGTGAACTCTAAAGGGCTTGGGTGGCCCTGCCTCCATGGCATTTCTGGTGCTTGTAGTCCTCTTGGCTTCTCTCTTGGTCTGGCTTTATTCACTGCTTGTGACTGTCCTTGGACATTCCATCTTCCTGGCTTTTCAACTTTCTGGGATCTTCACTGCACTTTTGGCTTCACACTCACAGCTTCACCAGCTGTTCTCTCTGGGGACACTGCCTGGCCTCCCCGGCCTTCTTCTGAAAGATGCTTATAAACCTTCCTGAACCCACTTGCATTCTGTAGCACCACGTGGATGATACAAAAGTCTGCAGCCAGCCTGCTGGAGTAGTAGCGTAAGACCTTTTGCATCTTTCTGGTGACTGCAGAGGCAGTACCTGGCTGGCTGAACACTCACTGTAAACGGAGTCCCCTGGGAATCATTCCCTAGGTGGTCCTTCTCTAACAGTATGCCCTGGGGTTCTTTTCTCACAGCAAAGACTTTCTCCTTTGCAATTTTAAGTCTGTAAAGGATGGGGCCTAGTTGGTTCCTCACATTTCCTCAAGGCATTTTTCCTATTGTCCGTTCCAGAAGACTTGGTTTTTTAAAATGCTGATCATTTTAGTATTCAAACTCTCCTCTGCTCTATCTTTGCAGGGCCCAACTTTACCAGAGCTTATCTTCTGGCTAAACTCAAAACTTTAAAAATCATTAAGCCATGGCTTTTGTTCTTGATTCTCAAGGTAGAGTTGGCTGAAAGCCCCCAACAGTATCCGTGTTACAGTCTCAGCATTAGACTGCTTTGAAATTTTCTCTGCCAGGTTACTTGGTTCACCACTCCTACTCTCAATCTTCCTAGAAGTTTTAGGACAGGAGCAAAGTGTATACAAACTTTCCTGCTAGAGCGTAACACAAGGCCTGGAGTCCACCTGTCAGTGAAGTCTTTGTTCCCAACTGAAAACCTTTGAGCCTGGTCTTTTTGGACTGCTTTTTTTTTTTTTTCTAACACTCTGGTCTGAGTTTCTACCAGAATCTCCCATCAAGCTTAGTTTACAGCATCTTCAAACCTTTTAGGTACTTCCAGCAACAACCCCACATCTCTGGTACCAAAATCTCAGTTGCTTTGTCTTTGCTGTGATTCAATACTTACCACACACACAAGTTGTAGGAAGAAAGGCTTATTTTGGCTTTTAGTTTATAGTGGCTTCAGTCCATAGCCACCTGTCTTCAAGACAGGGCTGTGTGGCAGTGGCACAAAGCAGAAGAGAAACAGCTAATAGCATGGTAGGTGGCAAGATGCTGAGAACAGCTAGGTGTAGTAGCGCATGCCTATTGCCACAAGTTTGAGGCTGTCCTGGGTTATATAGTATATTGAAGTATAGGTTGGACTGTATAGCTAGCCCCTATCTCAAAAAACCAAAAAAAGAAAGAAAAAAAAAAAAGCAGAGAACACAATACTTTAAAAGTTTAAACAGTATAGAATAATTGTGTGTTCTTTGCATTGATTTTAATATATGTACCCATTCTGCTATGTTTGCGATAGTTATTATATTTCTTTCTTTCTTTTCTTTTTTTTTTTTTTTTTTTTTTTGGTCTTTTTGAGACAGGGTCTCGCTATGTAGTTCAGGCTGGCCTTGAGCTCACTTTGTAGCCCAGGCTGGTCTCGAACTCACAACGATCCTCCTGCCTCAGCCTCCCGAGTGCTGGGATTACAGGTGTGTGCCACCACGCCCGGCCTTAGTTATTATATTTCTTTCTAGAGGTTTTTTTTATCAGAATATCTTGATTTTGAAATTGATAATTAATGAAAAAATTGTTCTTCTTTTGTAGCCATGCAGGATATACATATTGTGGGTCTTGTGCTGCCCATGCTTACAAACAAGTGGATCCATCTGTTACGTAAGTAATGTATTTAGTTTTAAGTGGGAGAAATGTGGGAATTATATAATAATTGCTTTATTACAGAAGTAATTTGTTTTTCATTCTTACGTTATTATGTACTCATTATAAGTTTAACTTTGCTCATTTTATTATGCTTTATGTAGGTTAGGAACAACTTTTAATTTTCTTTTTTTCTTTTTTCTTTTGTTTTGTTTTTTGTTTTTTTGGTTTTTCTCCGGTACCGGGAACTGAACTCACGACCTTGCGCTTGCCAGGCAGGCGCTTTGCCGCTGAGCTAAATCCCCAGCCCCTCTTTTTTCTTTTAAAGAGAAAAAATAAAATTTCGAAACAAAATAATACAGTAACAATGGTTACTGCATAGCAAATTGTTATCTTTAAATTAGTTACTCAGAGTACAAGATATAGGCATTTGATTGTCCAAACAATATTAACACAAACCTTTCTTTTCAATGAACTAAGAGAAATTAGTAGTATAACTATCTTAACTATCTTTTAAATATATATATATTCTTTCTTTTTGCTTTTCCCTTGCTTCTTTTCTCCATTTTTCCATCTCAGTTTCTCTTTCCTTTTGAAATTTCTTCCCATTTTACAATATCTATTGTACATTTTGGATCTTACTTACTCTTTTAGTTTCTCTCCCTAGGGAGACAACACAGTGTTTGTACATGTGCATCCTGGTGTATTTTGAGTTGTATTTATTTACCTATAAATAAATGTCTCCACTTTGTCCTTCTTTATGGCTGAGTAGTATTCCATTGCATAAAAAGACCACATCTTTTTTATCTGTTCCTTGGTTGAAGGGCATTTGGGTTGTTTCCAAGACCTGGCTATTACAAGTTGTGCTGCTGTAAACATGGGTGCACATATATCACTGTGGTATGATGTTTTTAATTCTTCTGGAAAGATAGCCAGGAGGGGAATAGTGGCATCAGATGAGACCTCTAATCCTAGTTTTTGAGGAACCTCCACACTGATATACCAGTGGTTCCACCAGTGAAAGAGCCAGTATTAAACGGAAAGAATGTTTTTTGATTTTTAGTATGATTGGTCAGGGCCTAACAAGGTTTTTGTTTTCATAGTAACCATTAAGATCTATAATGTGAGTGGAGAGGGACTTGTAAATTGATAAGGAAGCTTGTTTACAAACTAACTTGCCTATTTAAATCTACAAAGAGTTGGTAACAAAGGATTTCAAGTGTTGATTTGTGAGAGAACTAGATGAATAAATTAAAGCATATTTATTTTAAAAATGTTTTTAAGGGACTAGCATGAGCCAGGTTCTATGGTAGTGCTGGAGACAGGTGATAGTAACACAGACAGGATTCCAGCTCTGTGATGTTTATAAACTGGTGGCTGAGATTGATCTTAAGTATATAATAATAAAACTAGATATCTAATTGAAATCTAATTGGATTAAAGAACTGAGTATAAAATGTAGTTCTGGAACATTTTGCTTTCAGGAACCCTTTATGACTTTACGTCATCAAAGACACCAAGTGTAGGTTATATCTGTTGCTTTAATGGATTAAAAATTAAAATGTTAATTTTAATTAATCAGCATGTTAATTTAACAAAATAGTAGCATCAGTGGGGTTTACAGAAATAACCATCTTATGGGAAATGAGTAATTTTTCAATACAGTAATAAAAGTGGGAAAAGTATTGTTTTATATTTTGTACAAAATATAAAAATACTTTTCACTTCTATAAAAATAATTAAATCTACTTTTAATGTTTGGCCAAGTAGAACACAGCTATGTTCTTATATCTGCTTCTGCATTCAGTTTATTATGGTCTTTTTCTTTTTTTTGAGGTATAGGAAGGAAAACTAACTTCACTTAGATAATGTATTTAAAAAAGGAGTGGACTAGTTTAATCACCTTTTCTGATAATTGTGGATGTGTTCTTTGATACTGTACCAAAACTCACTGAGTGATCATGTTTTAAGGGTTAGTTTCGATGTGAAAGCTGAAGTTATAGCAATGAAGCTTTATACTTTTTAATCAAGATTTACTTATAGTATAAATGGATGTTTTACTCTTACATGATTTTATAACATCATATGTAGAACATGTAGAAAGTACTGTACATTGAGTTGTGCAGATCTTTCAAATAAATGACAATATTCCGTTATACAGTATCAAACTATATTTGTTGGTATCAGCACTAATTTTATTAGATATATGTCATCAGGAAGCTGTCAAGCCTATAGTAACAGAAAATTTTAAAAACTTTACTTTCACTTTACAGCTACAATTTCATCATTGGTTAAAAAATATTCAATTTTTCTTTGAATTGGGAGGTTCAGTTTGTTCATTTTTGATAAAATTCTGCCAAATACCTAATTTGAATAATCATAATTTTTCTAGTTATATTTGAAAAATTGTGTCCCATGAAAAAAGTGTCTAATTCAGTTCACAACTCATAATCACACATACGATACTTTTGGGAGACATACCTGTGGATGCACCAGAAGTGCTTTAGGCATTTATTGCCACAGATTGAGCGCATTTTTGTCATATAGAGTATTAAACTGCATTGTCAAGGCTCAAGATTTTTAATGAAATTAATTAAAGGTGGCCTTAAAACAAAACCCTGTGAATAAAGGGGAAAAAATAAAACTATTAATATATGCTGGTTTTATTAACTTGATATTTTTCTAAATATCAACAGTTTTACCTACCTTCATTTTTGCACCTTATGTGCAAACACTGATACAGTATAAAAAACAGGTAACTTTCGGGGCTGGGGATTTAGCTCAGCGGCAAAAGCGCCTGCCTGGCAAGCGCAAGGTCGTGAGTTTGGTTCTTGGTACTGGAGAAAAACCAAAAAAAAAAAAAAACAAAAAAAAAAACCAGGTAACTTTCTTTTGAAAGTAGTTTTTACTTTGTATACTACAGAGTACTAGGAATAACAGTACCAGGAGTAACAGTTCACACTTTGACAACTGCTGTGGTAGAGCTTAAGAGGGTGATTTGATTTAAATTATGGGGAACGTTGGTAAAGGCATCTCTGAGAAACTGATTTTTAAGCCAGGCTAGCTAAGTACAGACATTGGTACCATATGTAAAGTAGGCATGGTTCTTCATGTAGTAAAGGAATTGTAGAAAACCAATATATACATAAAGGTTCATATTGGGGTGGTGGTGGAAACAATAATACAAGAAAATACCAATTTATGTGAAACTTTAAAACTTATTTTGGGCCGGGGATATAGCTCTGTGGCACAAGTGCCTGCCTGGCAAGTGCAAGGTCCTGAGTTTGATTCCCGGTACCAAAAAAACCCTTATTTTATGTATTTTAGATTTTATCCCATGACCATGGAAAAACCATGAAAGGCTTTAAAGAATGAAGGTGAAATGAGGTGATTTATGTTCAGAAAAATCACTTGGCTGTTTAAGAAATTTTAAACTGGAAGTTTTAGTTAAGTTGTTTTCTGTATTGATGATTGAAAATCTTTTCCTGACCACTACTAAAACTAATGAAAAACCAAAAATTCAGGATTTATAATTACTTAGAATTCTTCACTTAGTTAGAAACTTGACTTTAACCCATATTTTCTAGAAAGGTTTACAGGACAGAAAAAGAGAACAAAAAGAATCTTCTTTGGGGCCATATGGCATTTTACTGGAACATATTACCTATGTTCCAGTAGTTTGAATAAGTAGTTGAAAAAGATGAAGTGTCTTAATATTTAGCAGCTTATATATTAGGCACACAGATTCTACTGATCATAGTTTCACAAAGGTGAATTCTTGAGCTATTTTATATGTAAACTACATTTATTTTTAGGACGGTGCTTGTGATCTCTCCCTATTATTTCATATCAAAGGTTTCTTTTACTTTACATATATATAACAGTCATGATACGCTAATATTGAAAAGTATCCTTTTAAAGACAAAGCACACTGTAGTTAGAGAGAGGGAAAATGACATTGCCTGTGGTGCCCATGTTACTTGTATTCCTGTGGCCTTGGTGTTTATGAATCTAGCAATCTAGCAAAAAACAAAACTATATGAATAATTTTTTGTTAGCATTTAGTGAAGAAAGAGACCTGCTTTGAGATTATCATTGGCTTAACATGCCCCCCTTTTTCCTTTTTAGTGGTATCTAGCTGTTTTTGGATAGTCAAGTATCACTTTGGGGGGCAGTACTGGGGATTGAGCTCAGAGGCCCTCTACCACTGAGCAATACCCCGGCCCTTTTTAATTTCAGTTTTTTAATTTTGAGACAGGATCTAGCTAGGTTGCCAGGGTGGCTTCCCTCTGGCAATGCTGCCTCAGTTTCACAAGTTAGAATTATAGGCATACAACACGGTGCCTGGATGGGTACCTCACTCTTAAGGATTTTGTATTGATGTGACTTCAACCTGTTTTTTCTCAATATCTCTTTAAATGAAATGTGGAACTTCACTCTCTTGGACCTGGGTGAGTTTCCACTAAATTGGAAAAATCTCTTGGGGAAAGCAGATTGGTAGGGGCTCTTTTTCCCTCATGTAGGTTGGGTTTTACAAAAATGCAAGCCAGGAAAGTAGTCAGGTACCAGAGGAGTTCATTAGGCTTCCAGCAGACCACCAGGGTTTACTTTTGGAGCAGTGCTCATCTTTTAGCCACTGTTAAATTCTTACTACTTATAAACTTTATCTGTGCCGTGGGAGTCTAGATTGACATTTTTAAATATTTCATATTTTATCTACTATATTTTTTAGATTATCTGGGGTGTTCTGATTTTAAATATTAAGTCCTTCTGTGTTTTCATAGAAGTTCATTTCTCTATCAGAAAAATGCCATTTTTCATATGTGAATAGTTTTTTTTTCCTTCTTCTAAATTTTTTTTTAAAGGAGATGGGGTCTCACCTAGCTGGCCTTGGGCGTGGCTGAAGCTATCCTCCTGCCTCAGCTTCTGAGTAGCAGGGACTCATGCCACTGCATCCTGCCCTACCTATTTGGTTCTTAGTCCATAGCATGCTTGACATGTGGTCAAGAGCTCTAACATTTCTAAATTACCATTATGTATGTATTAGACTTTGATTTGGAGGGGGATTTTTTGAGACAGGGTCTCCTTATGCAGTTCAGGCTAGCCTTGAACTCACTGTGTAGCGCACAGTGAGCTGGCCTTGGATGCTACGATCCTTCTGCCTCAGCCTTCTGAGTGCTGAAATTATAGGTATGGGCCACACCCCTGGCTAGATTTTTTATTTTTATCAATTTCATATATATGTGCTGTTAACATAAGAACAGAATGGTGTCTCTTAGTTCTGTTCAATTAAAAATCTATAAATTTGCTCTTTTTTTCTGAAATGGTTGTTGAACTGATGATAGAAGTGATAACAAGAAATGATGATTACAGTGCTAATAACACATGGGAAGGAGAGAAGTAGAGGAGACCGAAATGACCGGCGAATGAAATCTTTCATTGCTTGCTGTGTGTAATCTCTTGAGGACATTCTAAGACTCTGAACTGTGAATTACTGATGCACACTTTTTAGGAAATAACATATAACAAACAATATTAATTTTCATGTCATAACAATAGAAATTTTATCAAAATACATTGCTAAAGTACATATTCCTTGGCCTACAAATTTTTGATGTGAAAGAGTGGGTCATTTCTTAGTCTTTGTTCATTAACTGAGCAATGAGTAGTACTTAATTTTCTATGTACATAGACTCATACATTCTCTTCTTATAGTTATACTGTTGAGTTTGTTTGTGTGCAGTGAGGGAAGATTGGTTTGTACGAATCTTAGAGAACGAAGAAAATAGCTTTGGAATTTAGATTATAGGCCTTGTTTGCATGTTTCAGATAAAATGAGAGGAAATTAATTTTCCTCCTAATGTTAGGATAAAGGGATTATGCTACAGTGTAGCCCAGTTCTTTAAGGTAGACTACAGGGCAGATAGCACATAATCATGTGTCTTTGTTTTTGAAAATGCTCCTGGTGTTTTCTCTTCTTATATAAGAACATCAGTTATATTGATTAGTTCACTATCTTGGTGACCTTAATAAGCTTAAGTTAATTTAACTTAATAAGCTCTTTGAAGATCTTGTCTCCATGTTAGATTATATAGTCAAGAACTGGGAGTTGGGACTTTAATACATGAATTTTGGGAGAACACAGTTCAGCCCTTATGTTAGCAGTAGGTAATGAAAACAGTTTTAAGAAAGAAAACAACGTTTTAGAATTACATATTTTTTCCTTTTATTGAGTAAGACTTATGTAGAAGTGCAATTGTTCTGTGTTTTTGTTGTGTGTCTCCTAGCCGAAGAATTTTCATCCTCGGGCCTTCGCATCACGTGCCCCTCTCTCGGTGTGCACTGTCCAGTGTGGATATATACAGGACACCTCTGTACGACCTGCGTATCGACCAAAAGAGTAAGTGTACAGAAACCCTACAGCTTGCAAGTGGCTGTGTTCTTTTAGTGGGAATTATAATTTAAAACTTTAAAAAAAATGTTATATCTCAATTTTAACTATAAATTTTGTTGTAACTAATCTGCATTAAATGAAAACAAAAAGAGTCTTCCATATCCTTAAAAGATATCTAGTGTTGAGCCAGGCGTGGTGGTGCATACTTGTAATCCCAGCCCTGGGGAGGCTGAGTTCCAAACCAGCCTGGGCTACATTAGTGAGTTTAAGGCCACCCTGCACTCTGTAGTGAGACCCTGTCTCAACAAAGCAAAACAAATAAACAAACAAAAAACCCCAGTGTTTTCCTGCTAGCTACAAAAGTCTGTCAGTTCCACTAGTCTCTAGACTGTAGTGGTTAAATTTATATTCAGGGAAGTACCGTGTACTCATGGTACCTTGAGAGGAGAAATGAGTATTCACACCAATTTGATGAAAGATGCTGGCCATTGTATTTTACTTCTATGTATATCAATTTTCTCACTGTAAGTAGATGATGATAATACCTTTGTTTCCTCTATATGAGTTTTATAGGAAAAAATAAGCTTGTAGTTGTGAAACTGAAAGATGCTATAGAAATCTTTGTCTCCTGCCTTCTCTTCCCCTCTCTTCTTTTTCCTTCTCTCTCTTCCCCTCCTTCCTTCCTTCATTTTCCTTTCTTATCTTTTTTTGCCTTTGTCTGTCTTGATTTGAATCTGGGGCTTTGACCTCAGCTACTTCCACAGTTCTTTTTTATTTTGAGACAGGTCTAAATTGCTATGTTGTATAGACTGGGCTTGAATTTGTGATCCTCCTGCCTCAGCCTCCCAGAATGCTGCGATTACAAGCAATGCATCATCATGTTCTGCTTATACTTTACTTTTATGCCTGGCTATCATTTTGATTTTTTTTTTTCCTTTTAACCATAGGATCCTAGAACTCTTTTTTTTTTTTTGTTGTTGTTGTTTGTCTTTTTGAGACAGGGTCTCAGTATGGAGTTCAGGCTGGCCTTGAGCTCACTCTGAAGCCCAGGCTGGTCTCAAACTTGCAATGATCCTCCTGCCTCAGCCTCCCAAGTGCTGGGATTACAGGCGTGCACCACCACACCCGGCTACAAGTCAAATTTTTGTTTAGGTTTTCTTACACAATAGTTGTAAAACCTTTTGATCTTATTAAGGTATTGTTGGAGGTAGAGGGAGAATAAATTAAAAGATACGGAACAATATGGAGCAGTGGTGGTGAACCTGCGGCACATGAGCTGCATTGGCTTGTTTGTATCATTGAGAGCTCTAAAAGGGTTGCCATCATTAGTATGGAAAATGGCACATCAAATACTGATGCACTCATGGTCCAGTTTCCCCAGAGCTTTCTGTCATCTGGAACTCAGTGTACCTTTCCCGAACTAACTGCTGTCATGAACTTGGTTATGTACCCTTCAGTTCGTTTTATTATGTTCGGGATGCTATTGTTGTTTGAATTAATTTGCAGCAGTTTCTTTTATAGAATAAAAGACTCCGTTTGCAGGAAAAAAAAATCACTAACTTTTTAAAATTTTTAGCCTCTGTTTCCATAATATGAATATTTGAGTATCATAGAGTTTTAACAGTTTGTTGTTAGAATGTATTTTGTTCATGAAACTGGAGTTTTACTAATTTTACTCCTTGAGATGGTTTTAGGGAACATACTTTCCTTTTAAAACCTTATTGGGCCATCCAGAAAATTGTAGTTTTGGATAGCCTGCAAATAAAGAAATGGATAATTTTTAACCAAGTATAATTTTGTGGAAAAGAGATCACATCACCATTTCTTTCTTTGATATTGGTAAACCTATTTAAAGATTTAATTAAAATAATGTTATATCATGTTTTTTATCTGCCAGATTTCATCTTTTCTTGCTCTGGAATATCCATTTTAAATACAGTTTATCAGAAAGGTCTGTTGTTTTGTTTTGTTTTGAAACAACATCTTTTTATGTAGTTTAGGTTGGGCTCAAACTCTTTGTAGCTCAGCTGGCCTCGAACTGGTGAGGGATTATAGGTATTGTGCCACCACGTCCGGCTATCAGAAAGGCCTGAACTACTAGGTCATTTTAAATTGACATGGTACTGTAGTGAATTTGTGGTCTGTTAAACAGTTAAAACATTTTTTTTTTAGTTTTATTTTTTGAGACAGAGTCTCATTATGTAGTCCAGGTTGGCCTTGAACTCTGTAAACTAGGCTGATCTTGAACTAGTGATCCTCCTGCCTCAGCCTCCCAAGTACTGGGATTACACATGTGTGCTGCTGTGCCTGCCTGAATTTATGTTTTGATCTGTGCCACAAGCTTAATTTTGAGGAAAATATCATTCTAACTGGGACTTTTCTGTTTTTCATACGGTAGAAACCTGAAGTGTGGAATAGTATCACACATATTATTAAAAAACAAAGCAAACCCCAAGGACTGTTATTAACCTCTTTTGTAGATGGACCAGTGGCTTTTCCATATTTTGGTAGGAATTCTCATTAGCTATGCTCTTGTTAGTATGTACTGATTAAAGTCAAGAAAAGCCTAGATCTCAATGTGACTGAAATCATGAAAGGAGATAATTATAAAATTAGATTATTTTATTTTATTTTTTGCCTTTTTGAGACAGGGTCTCGCTATGCAGTTCAGCTGGCCTTGAGCTCACTTTGTAGCCCAGGCTGGTCTTGAACTTGTAACGATCCTCCTGCCTCAGCCTCCCGAGTGCTGGGATTACAGGCGTGTGCCACCATGCCCGGCAAGTTAAATTATTTTTATATAGTTATGTAACATACACAAATGGTGAATAAGTCTTTACAAGTATTTTACGTGATATAAAAAAATTAGCTTTTCCCTCTTATTAAAAATAAAGGAGAGTAGTGTGTTGCTTTTCTCTCTGCCAAAGCATGTAGTTTTGTGTTACAGGGCGGAATCTCATGGGACAAAGATACACACTGATATATTTGTTGTAATGTGTTTTGATCTCTTTAGTTTATGGAGAGCTGTGGAAGACAGGAATGTTTGAACGTATGTCTCTGCAGACAGATGAAGATGAACACAGTATTGAAATGCATTTGCCTTATACAGCTAAAGCCATGGAAAGGTATGCTGATTTAATATAAGAAATCTCAGAGAAGTCATAGACATTGATTTCTGGGGAATTATTTTACCTAGGGTAAGATGATGATTAGGGTAAGGAAATTAAATTTTTTTTGTTTTATTTTGAAATAAAAATTTGAGATTTTATTTTTTTAAATATACAAGTTGATTTTTAAATACTTAGCCTGTGAAGATTGAATAGAAGAGTTAATTTTTTTTAGGTAGAAATATGAATAAAATCTTATGTGGGTATGCTTGTATTTGTGTATATCTGATTTGCTTAGTATTTTATTCTTTAGACATTTGTGTATCACAGAATAATTACTACATTTTTTTGTAGTATAGTGCTAGCATTAATCATAAAATTTTATACTTGGAAATAGCTTTGAAGGTCATTTATTTCAACCTTATACAACATAACATTAAATCTCTTTTATTATGCTTGATAGATATACTTGACAGATTATTTTGTACCTATTAAAGGTCTTTCTATAATAGGGTGCTCACTAGACTTACAGAGTGGGGATACGGACAATGTCTGTTTTGCTTTCCATTATGTGCCCCAGTGCCTAGCACTTTGTCCAGCATCTAGTCATTTATTTTGGTAAAATGAAAAAATTGTTCCAAGTGTTTTCTTATTTTGGCATAGCATTTGAACAAGAAACTATTCTCTTCTGTAAATTATGTTTCTTTTTTTCTATCATTTTCTTAATATGTACTTAGTATTTCATACATAGTTTGATTCGTTCTCAATATGGTGAGATTACCCCTGTAGTGGATCTGTTCTTTGTATTGTCTTTAAAAAGTATGGGGTGGATTGTAGGTTCTCAGTACATGTCATTTAAATATATCAATGAAGTCTAAAATCATATTAACATTTTTACACTGATATGGCTATTGGTTAATATATTTATGACAAGCTAAAAATTAAGGCCTTTTTATACTGTTAAGATGAAATATTTTCTCCTCTTGGAATTTTGTGTGGTTGATACCTTTTTAACCCTAAATGTGTATGACTTCTTATTTCTGTTTAATTTTCTCTTGTTGTTGTAGTCCATTTAATAGTCTTTTTGGATGTTTACATTCAAAGTACTGTTTACTTCTCTTAGCCTTTCATTATTTACATCTGTTCACAATAACTATGAGAAAATACCTAATTTTTAAGAAATTTCCAAAAATCAGTGTAATATTAAATTATAATTTTAGGTTATCTTTTAATAATTCTTTTTCTCCAGAAATTGTGAATCCATATGTATTTCTTAGACTGTGGTATAGTCAGAAACACCACCCCTACGTTTTTTTTTTGTTGTTTGTTTTTTTGAGACAGGATCTTGCCATGTAGTTCAGGCTGGCTTTAAATACATTATGTAGCCCAGGCTAGGCTTGAACTGGCAGCAATTCCTGAGTGCTGGGATTGCAGGTTTGCACTACCATGCCCGGCCTGAACTTCCTATTCTTCATCCACTAAAGGTTATAGAAACTGTTTGCAAACATTTGCTGAAATGTTTGCCTATTTTAAAATAAAAAAATAAAATTTAGACCTAATAAATTTTAGTATAATAGACCCAATAAACTAACAATAATATCCAGAGGGAGATTCTAACAAAATAACTTTTTTATCGTTACTTCAAAAGTAAAATATGTGAACTATAGGAAATTTAAGAAAATAAATCTCGGAACCTTTAAACACAGTTCATACTCATAATTCTCCCACTTTTATTTTTCTTGCAATCCTGGCAGTTGAACCTAGGGCCTTGTATGTGCTAGACAAGTGTTCTACCATTGAGCTATTCCCTGTGCTCCTTTCCTTTCCTTTTTAAAAATTTGAAATAGGGTCTCACTAAGTTGCTTAGGATGACCTCTAACTTCGGATCCTCTTGTCTCAGCTTTCCAAATAACTGGGATTATAGTTGTGTGCCACCACACAAAGTACTCCTACATTACATTAGGATCTTTAGTACTACTGCTCCTAGGTAACACCTAGTAAATACTTGTATTTACTGCATGTATCAGTTATGTTTTACTGAGTAACAAATTACTCCAGAATTTAGTGTTTTAAAATCACAACTTTTGTTGCTGGGGATTTAGCTCAGTGGCACAGTGCCTGCCTGGCAAGCTCAAGGTCGTAAGTTCAATTCCTGGTACTGGGGGGGGGGGATCCAAAAAAAAAAAAAAGTCACAACTTTTATTGTTTACACTTTTTGGTTCATAAATTGGGGCAGTGAGTACCACAGTCAGTTCTACAGGATGTTGAAGAAGGTGGCTCAGATGGGCTGAATGGATCCACAATGCTCTTACTTGTCTACCTAAGGCCTTAGGACAGGTGTTCAGTTGATACTCCGTGTTTTCTGTCCAGGTGGTGTACTTGTTTATCAATAGGCTTTTCTTTCTTCTTTCACATTCTCTAGGAAGGTAGCCTTTACCTGGTGGTTATAGGTTTGTAAGAGAGCAAAACCAGAAGTTTCTAGATCTTGTAAAGCCTAAGTCTAAAACTGTGTAGTACCATTTCTGCTAAATTTTTTTTTTAAAATTTTTTTTTTTTTTTTTTAAAGACAAGGTCTCGCCATGTTGTTCAGGCTGATCTGGAACTCTCTGTATAGCTCAGGCTATTCTTGAGCTCATGGCAGTCCTCCTGCCTCAAATTTGTGAGGGCTGGGATTATAGGTGTGTGCCACCATGCCTAGCCAAATATTGTTTTTAAAAGCAAGTGAAATTGCTGTGTCAGCCATGATTTTAGGGAGGGAGAAATAGTTCCCCCTTTTGAAGATGGAAATAGTAAGTGTGTACAGGAATAAGAGGACGTGTTGGCAGCCATCTTTGTAGATGCTTTAACACAGTGTTATCTCTAGGGGACAGTTCCTTTCTTTATCAGACAATACTCTTACTTTGAACCCCAAGTTAGTGTCCTGTGAGTTTCTTTAGAAGCCCTTTTGCCTATCTGCAAGGGGTGTGTAAGTATTGCATTAAATCTTTCTGAGTTCTTAACAAAGAAGATTGAAGATCCATTCTTCTCCATTCTTTATTTGATAATTGTGAGTCTGTGTTTTCCTGGCAGTGCTTTGGATTCAATCTTTGTCCTCAGGCCATCTTCATTCATAGTCTTTTGCTGTCTGGGGAGGCTAGTGATGAGAAACATTTATTTTCTAACCCAGCAGTACCTGGTTAGAAGTATTTCCTCTATACTCTGCTTGCAAGTTAAACAGTTTGTTCCTTAGCGTATTTTTTTTTCCCCTTGTATCTTTTCATACTTGATTGTGAATAAGCCACTAACACTTGGAGCATTTTGCCTGGAAATCTGGTTCATTAGGTATATACTTAATCTTCTAAGTTATTTCATGTGGCAGTTTTGCTAATTTTTCTGCTGTACTATCATGTGGTCACCCTTCCTCCAGTATCCTCCACTGGTGTCCTTCTTGCCCTCTCATGATCCACCTTTCTCAGTCCCCAAAGCCAGTGTGACATGTTTTAAGTTTCTATTACAGAAGCACCCCATTTCCAGATACTAGGTGGTTTTTTTTGTTTAGTGTATTTGGACTCAGGGTCTTGTAGTTTAGGTTGACCTTGAACTCATGATGTAGCCCAGGCTGACCTCAAACTGGCAGCATTCCTCCTGCTTCAGCATCCTGAGTGCTGGGGTTACAGGCATGTACCACCATACCTGGCACACAAATACAGGTTTTTAATCTATCTGTTGTAACATAACAAGTCTCCTTGGCCTGCTTTTTTTTCCTCATGATTTTCTGGATCAGTAGTGACTACCTGTCCCTGTTTTATATGCCATCAGTTGAGGTAGATTGATGTAGGCTGATGACTCCATGCTACCCTCACTTCCTGTCTGGGGTTATGGTGTGGATTTCCACTAAGGCTCTTTATTTCTCCTTGGTTCTCATCTCTTTCCACTTGTCATTCACCTTCAGGGCCTATCTCCACATGGTCTCTCCTCTTCAGCGGGATAGCCTTGGACTACCTTATAGGGCAGTTGAGGATAGCAATTGGGCAAAAGAAGAAACTTCTTGCTTTTTAATATCTAAGTCCAGAACAGGCACAGTATCACTTAGGACATATTCTACTGATCAAAGCAATTAACAGGACAAAATTCCAGGTCAGGGAGAAATGGACTCTGCCTTTGATGAGCAGAATGACATTGAGTGGTTAGAGGTGAGAATTTTGGTTGATTATATTTGCAAATGCTAAAGTTAAATAGCTCATTGAATGCTATATAAGTCCATCTCCTTTGCGTGGTAGTTCCATGGTCTGTTTTCTGCCTGCAGCAGCTAGTCTATTCCGTATTCTCTGTGCCAAAGACATTGGGCAAAAACATTTTAGTCATTCATTGTTGAATGCAGTAACAACATCTTCCTTCTCTTTCTTTCTTTCTTTCTTTCTTTCTTTTTCTTTCTTTCTTTCTTTCTTTCTTTCTTTCTTTCTTTCTTTCTTTCTTTCTTTCTTTCTTTCTGGTGGGTAATGGGACTCAAACTCAGGACCCTGTGCTTGCCAGGCAGGTGCTTATGACTCTGAGCTATATCCCTGGCCCTTTATCTTCCCATTTTTAATACTTTTTTTTCATAAAATAGGGTAAAAATTTTTTTAAAAACTGCTTTTCATGTCATGAAATACATATCATTTTTACTCCACTTCATTGACCATATATGTTACTAGTATATGTTTATATACTACTTTTTAAAATGAAACTTTAACATGTAACTTTAAAACTTTACCCTGGCCTTTTCACTGTTATAATTTTGATTTTTTTTTTTTTTTTTTTTTTTTTTTGTTTTGTTTTGTTTTTCTCCGGTACCGGGAACCGAACTCACGACCTTGTGCTTGCGAGGCAGGCGCTTTGCCGCTGAGCTCAATCCCCAGCCCTATAATTTTGATTTTTAAAAAGTAAGTATCGGGGCTGGGGATTTAGCTGAGCGGCACAGCGCCTGCCTGGCAAGCGCAAGGTCATGAGTTCTATTCCCGGTACTGGAAAACAACAACAACAACAACAACAACAAAAAA